TTAATGGCAAAATATGGAAAATTCTTTCTGGTTGTGAGCCACTGCCAACAAAAAACCAAGAAGTAAGGAAAATGTTCAGGAAGCCAAAAGAAATTATGATTCATACATGTAACAACGAAAGATCCCAAACAGTTCAAACCAGCTGGACAAAAGGGAGGTCCAAGAAGACGCCATGTTTTGTTCCATTTGTGGACATAATTGAGATAGACCTAACTCTACATATATACATGTCTGTCCAAGTCGTGGGGTAAATTTGAAAAAAAATCAGATAAGTGGAATCCCAATTTTTCTAATACTCAATTTTTGGAACCTCTTGATTCTTGAAAGCAAAAGTCGTTTCCCCCATACAATGTGACACTAAGTTCAAACCCCCAATTTCTTGAACAAACCAATTTTTCAAACCAATTCTTTTTTTCCCTTGAAGTTTAAAAAATCAGGATTCCACCGTATAGTACTGAGTAATCAATTTCTGGGAGTTGGGCAAAAATTTTTCAGTTCTCTCTTTTTTGAAAATACAACTACAGAAATTCCAGGATCACTTTATTTGGTCCTGAGTGACTTAGAAATCAAGAACACTAACCCAGCTGGCCACCAGCCAGTTTTTAGTCTTGTTATCAATAATTGATGCTACAGAAACCGAATAAGCCGTCACTGTAGTGGTTTAGATCAGTTGGCCTGAAGGGACTTAACTTGACCTTCATCGTCAAAACTCCACCTAGTAGGGTTGAAACTTTAAAAATTCTGGTGACTTATTTTTAGTTGTATAGTTTACTATTTAATTTAAGAGATCAAGGAATTCCATAAAGGTTAACACATTTGCAGTTTCTTACTAAATACAAAACAGAGAAGCAAGGAAAAGAGCTATGAGCTACTCAAGAGGAGAAAAAATTGAATGGAGACACTGGATCCCAATAGTAGGTCAGTCACAATTTTATTTATGTTTGGTATCATGTACTACATGTAGGAATGATTATTGTGCAGAAAGTTAAAACGAATAAAGATTTTATTGGCTCACTACTGTTCAGTTACATGTGTTTCAACAAACTGTTGTTAGGTGGCGGTACACCTTAGCGAGGGTTGGGGGTACAAAAATTCATCCAGATTACAATACCTGGGTTACTATTGCTGAGGAGTATTGTTTTGTGGAAGGAGGGACAGAGTGGGCTAATGGTCAGCGCATGGGACCTCACCTAGCTAGGTGTACAAAATAATGGGTACTGGATTAATTTAATACTGGCTGCTAACCCTGAGACAGACTACCATCCCACCCAGGCAGAATAGAAAAATGCCTTATCATTAAATGCAACAGAGACCTGGATATGCTGTACATGTGTATCACTTGACCTGATGCAGACTTGACTTTGCCTTCATCTTTGAAACTTGCCCGTGTAGGGTTGAAATGGAATAAAACTGATGGTTTCTTTTAAATTGTGTTAACTGTAGTTTTTGAAATTAAGGGATGGAGGATGTCATAAAGGTTAAAACACTTGCTGGTTCTTATTAGGTACAAAACAGAAAAAAAAAACAATAAAAGCTGTGCTGACACTCGAGAGGAAAAAGAATCAAATTGAGACTATTAGGTAAGTGGTTTTTAATCACTTTGTGGTGCAATACAGGGAATAATCGTACACAATGGAGGGAAAGAATTTAAACGAGTAGAGATGTTACTGTTTCTCAGTTCAGATTTTTCAAGAAACCCTTGTTATGTGGCTAACTGGATACCCAGCCCTTCAGGGT